TACCCCCGCCCCCCCCTACCTACACACACACACACACACTCCAGCTGTACATGGCCTCCCTGGAGCTGGCCAAGTCCGGGATCACCACCGCGCTGCGCCCGCTGGGCTTGCCCGACGCCAGCGTGGCCGGCGCCGCCAGCTTCGTGGGCGGCGGCCTGGCCTCCTTCTCCTCCCACGCCGTCATGGTGCCGCTGGACGTCGTCTCCCAGCGCCAGATGATCCGCACGGGACAGCTGCGCGGCGGCGGCGCCTCCGCCGCGCCGGCGGAGGGGCCCGGGGGCGCCGCCATGGCGCGGCACATCCTGGCTACGGAGGGCGTGCGGGGCCTGTATCGCGGCCTGGGCGCCAGCATCGCCACCTACGTCCCCTCCTCCGCCATCTGGTGGTCCTCCTACGGCGTCTGGCAGACACTGCTGTGGGACCGCCTGGACGCGTTTGTCGGCGAAGGCGGCGCAGGCGCGGAGCGGACTCAGGGCCGCACCGTGGCTGTCCAGGTGAGAGGTGTTCTTCCTTTCTGTTGGGGTGGTGATCGCGCCAACGTGATCCCATGTGATCTGAGTGGCGTGCCGGGCGCAGCGCTGTCGCGGTGCAGACCACGAATTCTGACCCCTTTCTCACCCACGCACTGAATACTCTCCCCCTGACAACACATTCCCACGCACAAATGCAGGCTGCGGCGGGGCTGGCCACAGGGTGCACCTCGGCGGTGCTGACCAACCCGCTGGACGTGGTGAAGACGCGGATCCAGACGCGGCAGCGCGAGGCGGGGGGCGCTGGGCTGAGCTGGGCCGGGACGGCGCGGGACCTGGCGGAGCGCGAGGGCTGGGCGGGGTTCTACCGGGGCCTGGCGCCGCGCATGGTCAGCACCTGCGCCTGGGGCACCGCCATGGTCACCACCTACGAGTTCCTGAAACGAATATGCGCCCTGCCCCCGGAAAGCTGAGGCAACCGACCTCGATGCTGGTGGGCCTGGCTGGGCCGCCAGGAGAGTTGGCCTCCGCCTGCCCCAAGCTGGACTCCTTGGCACCCGCGATGCGCTTGCTTCTTTTGCCCTGTGTCGTTGCAAGGCTGTAGAATTTCCCAGTTGGTGTGCATTGTGGAACCGTGCTGATGTGGTGCGTCGTGACATAGAATGTTGCACACCATCAGTCCGAGAGCTGACGTCACCATCCTACAGAATGAAGGCGACAGTCCCCACCCCCTTACCACATCCTGGTCCCTACATGTGCTGCGATCGTACAATCAACAGCCCAATTTCGGGGTTGATGCCGATCCCACCATGCTGACTCGGGTCAGGCCACTGGGCGCGGGCCTGGCGCTGTGCCAGCGCTGGACACCGGCGGTGGTGGAACGATTGCTGAGCGGGGCGGCAGCCTCTGCCTCGGATCATGAGGACGTGCCCGAACGCTTCAACTCCCGCACGAGTGAGTGCTCGCGATGGGCGATCGGGTCAGCGGCTGGGCTGGGCTGCAGTGGGGTCGGGCCGTCCTGCTGGTGGTGGGTCGACGAGGACTGCGTACCTTGCCCTGCCCTTGCGATACCTCCCCAACAAGCTCCAGACCACCATCTCACATCCTCGACATCCTCGCATCGCAGAGCGGGACAACAGGTTGCGATACTTTGTCGTCAGCAACCAGCCCTCCTCCGCCCTGCGCCTGCTGGAGCAAACCGTGTTCCGGGTGCCCATGGTGGACACGAGCGGGAGGGAGAAGTTCCTCAAGCTCCCCCCCGCCTCGGTGTGCAACAAGGTGCTCGACTCTGCCGCCCAGGTTCGCGGCTGCGAGGGCTTGTGGGGAGTACTGGGTGTGGGGTGGAAGGTGCAGGTCTGCGACTCGGAGACAGAGTCCTCGACACTGATGTCGTGTGCTCTGCAGGCCAGCGCTGGCAAAACATGCGTAGCATACTAGAGTCCATGACATGCACCTCCACCTCCCTCCGCCCCCCGGCCCACGGCATCCTCACACCTCCCCTCCCACCCGCCTTTCCGCCCACAGGAGGCGCAGCTGACAGGGCGGGCCGCTGAGCTGGCGGACGCGCTGCTGCTGCAGGGCATCCCCCTGGAAGCCAAGACCCTGCGCTCGCTGGTGATGGGCCTGGCGGGGACGGGCCGCCTGGAGGACGCCCTCCCCTTCCTCGACCGCTGGCTGGCGGCCGAGGAGGCGGAGCGGGGCAGGGCCGGGCCGCAGGGAGCCGCCGCGCCCGACGACGACGAGCGCGGCGACGGGGGTTCCGCGCCCCTTGCGGCCCCCTCCCCGCGCCACGTCCACCGCACGCTGAGCTGGCTGCTGGAGATCGCGGCGCGGCGCGGGTCCACCCCCGGCATTGTGGCCGTGCTGTCCCGCGCGGCGCGCGTGCAGGTGGTGCCCAGCGTGCAGAGCGTGACGGAGGTGCTGGCCGCCTGCGGGCGCGCGCGCGAGGGCGCCAAGGCCCGCGCCATCCTGGGCTGGATGCGGCGCCACGGCCTGGCGGCCGGCCCCGCGCAGCACGCGGCGGCGCTGGCCCAGCCGGCCGGCGGCCTGCCGGCGGCCGAGGCGGCGAGCCTGCTCCCCGGCGC